GGGAAGGGAAAAGGAGATACAGCTTCTACCTGGCTGGGGTTGTGACTCCAGGCCTGCCAGCTCCTTCTGGTATAGCTGAAGAGGAATACAGACTCTATCCAACCTCTAGGGAAGGAAGAGGAGGTTTGGGTAATTGAGATACACAAAATTTGGTGGTGGAGGAGTCTGCTAGCACCCTCTTGCGGTAGATGATTGGAAATACAATTTCTGCAGCTGCCCAGCCTGTCTGTGAGCTGTTGCTCTTCACAGATGTGTTCATGTTCACTAGGAAAAAAAACAAAAAAACCAAAAAAAAAAAAAACAAAAAACAAAAAACAAAAACAAACAAACAATGTGGACTTAAATGTCTCCCCACCATCCTCGGGAGGATGCAGGAACAGACAGCAAGCTTTGCTTGCTCTGCCTTGATCTGTGTTAAAGCTGGGTTCTGAGCTACAGGGTTAGAGATGTCCTTCACTACAGTTTCTCAAAGGCCAACATGCCGACAGTCTGAGGCAGAGGTTGAGATGTGGCCATGCCTCTTTTTTAACCATCTATGTTGAGTGTACCCTCTCCCCAGCCCTTTTTTTTTTTTTTCTGTTACCCAAGAAGAGAGAGTTGTCTTGGTAATGTTCAAGGGCCCTCCTCACGATGAAGTGGGCAAGCTTGGGACTCAGGAGAGCCAGGTGTATAGGTCTGTTCCAAGTTTGAAGGTCTGGGAGCCAGGGCGGCTGATATGTAAGTTCTAAGCTCCACACCTGAGGCATCCAAGGCAGGAAGACCTCCCGCAAGAGTGAAGGTTGGCTTTCTTGGTCTAGTCAGACCTTCTGCTGATTGGGTGTGACCCACCCACAGGAGAAAGACAACCTGATGTGCTCAGTTGGCTGATTCAGATTCCGGCCTATCCCAAATGCCCTCATGTGCATGCTAGGGGTAATGTCCACCAAACTTCTGGGCACCCGAGGGCCCACTTCAGTTAATACAAGAATGTCTCCTGTCACTTCTGGAGGCCAGATGCTACATATCAAGGCGTCAGTGGGTGGTTCCTTCTGAGGCTTGGAGGGAGAAGCTTGTCTTGGGCCTGTCTCCAGATGACCAATGTTTGCTTGCACTCCACAGTTGCCTTGGGTTGTAGAGACAGCTCTGTCTCCATACTTCCTTCTTATGGCATTCTCAAGGCCCTCACTAGGGAGGGTATTATTGTCACCAGACCAGGCAGTTGCTTCTTATACTGTCTGGTACATGACAGGACAGATTAGATTGGACATGGGGCTGGTCTATAGGCTGTCTAGGTGAGGACTGGGGGAACCTATATATACCAGAATATCTTAGGGAAAAAGCCAAGGGAGGGTGAAGGGGGTCAGACAGGGCCATATCCAGGGATCTTGAAAGCCAGTGAGGAGTCTCTAAGAAGCATCCGCAGGAAGGGGACATGATCAAATTAGCTTTCTAGAAAGATCTTTTTGTGGCAAGCTTGAGGTTGTATTGAAACAAGGAGGCCAGCTTGGAGAGTCCTGTAGTGGTTTCGGCAAGAAACAGTGTTGGAGGAAACGGTGTTGGAGGAGAGGAGGGGCCTCATGGAAGACATTGGCGCTGTGGATGCAGCTAACCTGGTAGAGAGGCTTGGAAAGGGCGATTGTGGTTGTATGTACTGAGGAATTCCAACCTCCTTACCCTTAAACTCACTGCGTCTACCTTAGATATGTGCAGTGCTTCCCAGTTCCCAGTAGATGGCAGGAGAGAGATTGAAGAAGGAGCCTCTGTCTAATTTGCATAGTTCCCGTACTGGCTAGGTCAAAATCTGTGTGACAGCTCAGGTGGCCCAAGGATTTTAGTTTTGAAGGGCGAAGGGTAGGGCTTGAAGATGTCCAGCTCTGACTCTAGACAGTACCAGGGGGGCAGCAACCAAACTAGACGTGACAGCCAGCTGATGCTGGAACCCTGAACTTTTCTCTCCAGCCAACCTAGCCTGGGGCTAGGGGTCTCAGGTTAAGGTGGAACGAGGGGGCAGTTACTCTAATGGTTTGGAGGGATTTTCATTCTTGGTGTTTTAGACAGAAGAATGCTGTCAAGGCTTCCTGGGGTTCTGTCTTGAAAGGCAAAGCTGAGTCTCACCTCTCAGCCGGAACACAGGCTTCCTGCTCCTCTGAGGACTCAGGATTGTCCTCTCTCTCTTTCTCTCTCTCTGAGTCCTGTTATGTAGCAGAGGCTGGCCTTGAACTTCTGAGGCTCCAGGTGTTCATCACCACTCCAATCCTGTACTCTCATGGAATGCCAGAACCTGCAGAGTCTGGCCCAGCTACCCATGTGCTGACTGTCCCCTGTCTGCCTCTTAATCAACCCTCTGCTCTTTCCAAACTGGCTTTGCTATGTGCACACTTTATGCTTCTCGCTGGCTTCCAGCTGGTTTTTTTCTTCAATGGGTGCCCCATTGGAGAAGCCGAGTTCAGCTTGCTTTCTGGGCAGGGGAGGACAGTCCCTTGCCTGCCTGCGCCTGCAAGGCCCTTTGCATGCCGCTACTGCTGGGCTGGCTTCTTACTGCTGCGGTAACAAGGAACCAACAATCTGTTGGCTTTACAAATGAGCTGTCTTGAGTTCAGAAGTCTGCAAGGCCTTTGTGGGCTGCAGTCAAAGGCTGGGCAGGACCTTGTTCCCTCTGAGACTCATAGGGAAACTTCTTGGCTTCTATAAGCCGCCCAAATTTCTTGGCTCCAGGCCACCTCCAACCTTTGTTTTCGTTATCATCCATCTTTCTCTTCTCTCCATGTCTCCCTCTTGTAGGGACCATTAGCATGACTCTGGTCTATCTGGAGAATCCAGGGCCAAATCCTCCATTTTAAGATTCTTAACTTGGTGACATCAGCACGTCTCTTTGTCACGTGCTGCAATGCACACTTGTTGTCTGGGAGACATCTCTCCCCTCCTTCCTGGGGTGTCAATGGCCCCTGGCTGTTGTTAGCCTCAGGGTGCTCACCTGATTTCTGTAACTTCTCACATCTGGCCCTCCCCACTCCAGCCCTCCCCACTCCAGCCCTCTCCACTCCAGCACATCTTCTTTCTGATTTTTAGTTCTTAATTAATTTGTTTTGAGTTAGCCTACAAAGTGATGGGTTTCCTTATGCCACATTCACACATGTCCCATGGCGCCCCCCAGCTTCTTCCTTCCTCTAGACGGTGTCCCATTCTTTCTCACCCCATGTGTTCTAGTACCTTCTCTTATGATCTCTTCCTCCTCTCGCATGGGTCCCTTTCTACTTTTATGTCAATCATGCATGCACATTTAAATCCAAGTTCTGTGTGTGAGGGAAAATGTGTGCTGTTTTGTCTTTCTAATCAGGCTTATTTGGCTTAATGTAACCATTTCTGGATTCATCCACTTTCTTGAAAATGTTGTGATCAAATTTTCTTTATGATTTAATAACATTTCTTTATCTCTGTCTGTCTGTCTATTTATTTATTTACCTATGTATCTATCTTCTATCTGCCTATCATCTATCTACCAGTCATCATGTGTGTGCCTGTCTGTTTATCTCATACACGGTCTTTACTCATCTGTTGAAGGACATATAGGCTGACTCCATTTTCGAGTTATTATGAACAGTGCAGCAATGACTATGGATGGGCAAGTATCTCTGTGGTGTGTTGACTTAGAGTCCTTTGGGAATGTGCCTAGGCCTGGCACAGCTGAGTCTTGTGGAAGTCTCTTTCTCGATTCTTTTAAACAAACCTTCATACTGATTTCTGAGGTGTGGGCACAGGTTTAAACTCTCATGACAGTGAGTAAGGGCTCCCCTTTCTCCACACCCTTTCCAGCATTTGTTGTCACTGTTTTCTTGATGACAGTCATCCTGATTGGGGCAAGAATTCTCAAGGCAGTTTTAATCACGATTTTCCTAATGGCTGAGGATGATAAACACATTTTCAGTAGTTATGGGCTACTCAGGTCTCCTTGTTGGAGAAGATGTGTTCTTTCCATCAGCTTGTTTGTTGATGGGATGATTGTGTTTCTGTAGATTAACCTTTTGTCGGGTGCCCCCCCCCCCACGACATTCCTCAAGTTGCCTGCAGAGGGCACTGTTGTATGTTGGAGTTTTGGACCTCTAAGAATCCTGGCCTATCAGGGCTCAGTTGATTTAATCTTTTCAGCAATTTTTATAGTTTATCTTCCACTTTATGGTTAGAGAATTTGAGGGTAACATGTCCATAGCCAGGGTTTACAGCAGATTGACTCTCTGGCTCCAGACAGCTGCCATTCTGGGTGTGTCCGCCTCTTACAGCTTGACCTGCAGCATTCCCCTCCCAAACATTTCCCCTCTGCATGGTGATTTTAAAAAACTACATGGAACTGTTCCTCTTTGGTTCCCCCAGATGTCCCTTTGCTCTGACATAGGGTCACTGTTGCCAGTCTGTGTTACACCAGCCAGGGGTCCCCTCAGAGACCATCTCAGAGACATCTGTCCTTCTGTCTCCACATCTGGGGTCAGGATAGAATGGAGACTAAGAAAAAGGGATAGTCAAACAAGTCTGGGTTCCTAACCTGGTCTGAACATTTACTAGCTGCATGATTGTTCACACACACACACACACACACACACACTAAATCTAGATTCTGCAGATGAAAGAATATGACAGGTGATGTTTGTCTTCCCAAGTCTGGCTTATTTTGCTTAACACAATGACCTCTAGTTCCATCCATTTTCTTACAAATGTCATGATTTCATTTTTCTTAACATCTGAATAAAATTCCACCATGCGTATGGGCCACATTATCTTTAGCCAGTCATCTGTTGATGCACATCTAGGCTGGTCCCGTTTATTGAATAGAGCAGCCCTGAACATGAATGAGCAGGTATCTCTGTGGTGTGCTGTGGTATGTGTTTACCAAGTGTCATAGCTCGGTCATATGATAGTTCTATTTTTTTGCTTTTTTAAAAACATGTATTTATTTAAGGTGGGAGAGGGGATTTGCCACAGCACATATGGCAGTCAAGACAATTTGCAGGAATTGCTTCTCTCCTTCCAAAAGGCAATGGTTACATGCCACAAAGCAGTTGGTAATGCCTTAACCATATGCAGATTATTAGGCCAAGGGCCTCTTCCATCCTTGTCAAGGGGTGTGCTGACCTCTCCTTTCATACAACACATATTTTTAGTCCCCCCGAAACTTCCATATTGACTTCCATAATGGTTGTACAAGTTTACATTACAATCAACTATGCGATTTTATAAAATTTGCTTAATGTCTCTGAGCTACTGTTTCTTCATTTGTACATTGGAGTCCACAAATTTTGCTATCTCACTGAGGTACCCTGATAGGCTGACCATTGTGGTACACAGCATCTGCTTCCGTTACAATGACTTTTATGCACAGCACCCTGGGTTCACCTGTGAGTTCACCCTGCCACCCCTAGCATCCCTCTCCCTCTATTTTCTCAGGTGGCTTCTGTGTTCCATATTCCCTAGCTTTAGGTGAGAGTGAATATTGCAGCTTCCCTGCTCTGCCAACTCCAGAGAGGGGGATCTCCAGCGTCATGGCCTTGGAAACGGCTGCCTACTCTGCCAGTGTGCAGCCCTTCACTATTGTCCCTTTTCTGGGATGAATTATTCCAAGTGGCCAGCACAGCGTCTTCAGTTCTTTCACAGCTTCTTTTAAGGACCCGCTTTGGGCAATTCGAAGCAAGACAAGTGACAAGGACCCCCAGCTTGGTGTTCATCCTGTTAGTAATTTCACATCTGTCTCTTAGAAATGCTGCTGTTTCAGCAGAGCTTCTGGGAAGTCATAGCTCTGGCTGACCCCTCCTGGCCACACACAAGTTCCTAGGCTGCTGTCCTGGGATGTGCAAATGGCCCGAAGTTCAGAGGGAAGATCATGAAGGACATCCTTCGGCCCTGCAGGAGTAGGAGGCTTGGTGGAGGGTGGTGGCAGCAGCAGGGGGTTTTCCTCATATCCACCGAAGCTGCAGCTGTCCCTACAATTGCTTCTCCCATCCCATCCAGCCTTGCCCTTAATGGGAACTCGAGTCTGACTGTGGGGTAGGTAGATGGTACAGGAAGGTAGGGAATCTTTAGTCTATGTTACAAAGATTTTTTTTTCCCTCGGTGAGGGTCTCCATTATCAAGGATGAGTAAATGAACTTGGTTATTCTGGGAGAGTTCAAAGCAAATTGAGAACCTAGAACTCCGGGGAAGAGAAACCCGTGGCAGGCTGAGTGGATGGCCATAAAGTTGTTCCCATGGCCCCTGGCAGCAATCCTGTGCTTCTGCCTCCCATTGCCTTCCTCCTAGCTGATGGGACAGGGTGGAGGCATGCAGACGACTTCCAGCCTTGGCCCAGAGAACCCTTATGCTGTTCCTTTCTCTCTGCTCACAGAAGAGGAGGCAGTGTCTGAAAGGCTCCTGTGGAGGTGGTGGGGCCTGGGTACACAGGGAACCTGGACTGAAAGGTGATTCATGCAACGGTCACATGATTAGGTGCAAACCAGTGATGCCTTTGTCCTGGACAATCCTCTGCCATCTTCCCAGCAGTTCCAGACCTCCTTCAAGTCTTTTATTTGAGGACTTCTTGGTGTTCTATTAGTTAAAGTTTCTATTGCCCTGGTGAAACACCACAACCAAAAGCAATGTGGGGAGGTAAGGGTTTATTTCACCCACAGTTCCATATAACAGTTCATCATCAAAAGCAGTGAGGGCCGGAACTCACACAGGGCAGGAACCTGGAGGCAGGGGCTGATGCAAGGACCATGGAGAGGTGCTCCTTACTGGCTTGCTCCTCATAGCTTGCTCAGCCTGCTTTCTTATCCAGGACTGCCAGCCCAGGAATGGAAACACTCACAATCACCTGTACCTTCTTCATCAATCACTAATTAAGAAAATGCCCTACAGTCTTGCCTACAGCCGGGTTTTATGGAGGCATTTTCTCAATCGAGGTTCCCTAGATGACCCTAGCCTGTGTCAAGTTGACACAAAACTAGCCAGCATGTCTGTGTATGCTGCTATAAAACATATCACAGACTGGGTAACTTAATGAAGAGGTGAATTTTTTTCTTTCTCAATCCTGGAGGCCAGAAGGTCTGAAGTCAAGGTGTTGGCTGTCTGGTGAGGATCCTGTCTCCTCTATCAAAATGGTGGCTTGAGCATTGTGTCCTCCAGAGGGAACACTGTCCTTATGTGGGGGAAGATGAAGGACAAAAGGGATGATTCCCTGTTAAGCTCTTCTATAGGGATATCTGATCCCAGCCTGGAGAGTCCCACTGTCACGAGCCTCTTGCTTGTGGAAGGTCCTACCTCTTAGTGTTGGGATACTGCCATTCAGTGTCAATGCCTGGAGCATTCAACCATTTCAGGGACAGTGGGTTTTCACAGGTACGACAGGCCCCTCAGAGTCAGACAAACACTTTGCAACACTGTGCAGTTGGAATCAGAGTCCTGGAGGCTCCACACCCGTCAGCTGCGCTTCCTCATGGGAATGCACATCACAATGGCTCCGGGGAGTGGGAGTTCCAGCCATAGAAGGATGTGATGTTCTTGAGTAACTTGGGTTAAAATTAGATGCAGATTTAACTGATGGAGGAGCTGAGTCAGAGGCCGGAATGCCACCATCTCAACACAGTTTATAACATCCAAATTCACTTGTGGGAACCCAAGGCTGGGAGGCCTTCTCTTTCTTATTCTTCAGAAGGGAACATGATGAAGTTGGAAACCTGGTACTCCTCCAGTATGGGGACTCAGGACACTCTCCTGGATCCCTTCATCAGGAAATCAAGGTCTGTGACGAGATGTGGCTTCTCATGACAAATTCATACCCACTGTTAGGAAAACTGCAGAGCCAAGTGGAGTCCCTATGGGGGAGCCCTTCCCAGGTCTGTGTGACACCTCTTTGGGGGCCAAGAGTGTGTCCTAATGTTTTAAGCCCCCTTTCCACAGTGACCTCTGAATGAAAAAAAGAAACAGAAGGAAAGGAGATGACTACTCCTAGATAAGGTAGAGGAGAAAGTTTGTTGTGGATAAAAGGGAGAGCATAGGCAGAGACAGGGCCATCTGGGAGAGTCCAGAATGGACATGACCCTGACTGAGCTGGGCCATGTGAGGAGAAGGGGAGGGTAAGGGAGAGGGGAGAGAGGGGAACCAGGTGCGGCAGCCTAGAGGGTGGGTAACCAAAATGTCTGGATTATATAGAGAAGAGCCTCTGGGGGAAGGACAGCCCAGCCCCTGGGTTGGAGAGTTGGGGGGTAGAGGTAGGGACTGAGGGATGCTGGGGGAACCTGGCAGCCAGGTCTGCTTTGATATGTTAAATAGGGATCTCAGTCATTTGTCCTTGCATCTGAGGCTTAACAACCTCCTCCAACCTTGTGAGGCATTCATAGGAGAAACTTGAGTCAAGAGGACTTGATGGACACTGGTCCTCTTCCCCAGAGTGTGGTACAACTTATCCTCCCAAAGGATCACAGTGGGGCCCTAGAGCCAAGCCACTATGGGGAGGAATGAATTTATGAATAAATGCATCGTTAGTGTTTTTTTTTTTTTTTTTTTTTTTTTTTTTTTTTTTTTTTTTTTTTTTCTATGTAGCTAAAGGTAGTGCAGGATTGAACCCAGGGCTTTTTGCATGTTAGGTAAGCTCTCTACCCACTGAATTACGTATGCAGCCCTTATATAAGGTAATATTTAGAACCTACTATGGTCTAGGTGCTGAGGCCTTTGGGTGTATCAGGTGAGAAGGAGTGGGGCTGTCTCTTGGTGTCAGTGGGACTGTGGGACCCAGTGGGGAACTGGTCCAGGTAAACAGTCCATCAGGTTCTCACTTGGAGGGGAAGGTGGCTTTATATGAAGTCAAGCACATGAAAGAGTTAGTGAGACAGCCAAGTATTTCAGCCATTAGAGGACAAGGCTATGACAATTGGAAGCTTGAAGCTAACCTGGGGGACATAGCAAAACCCAAACTGAACTCACACAAAAAGCCAGGGAGTGTGAGAGCCATGAGGGTCCTCTGGACAGGTCATGTGAGTGATCCATAGCAATGTCAGAATGATAGAGAATCCAGGAGACAGAGTGCAAACGCTGATAAGCATGGGAGAGTGGGGGAAGTGGAGGCCGTGGGTTTGTGGATATCTGTCCACGGGGAAGGGAGGCTCTTAGGGAAACAAGCTACTTTGAGGGGAGGAAAGGGGGGAAGGGGAACGGGGAAGGACTAGAGTGTGGGGAAGAGCACATTCAAGTGATCTGATCACTCGTCATTGAGGAAAGGGACCTACTGGCCACGAAGCAGCTGCTCACTCGTGAGCTTCCGGGTGAGTCTCCTGTTTCCACCTCCCATCTTACCAAATGAGCAGTGAGGTTACAATGTGTACTGTTTCTGTGGGTTCTGAATTGTCAGGTGTGTGTGTGTGTGGGTGCTTTAACCCACTGAGCTGCCGGGCCTGCCCTGGGCTGACTTTCTGAGATGCCACTTTCCTTGTGCGGTGGTGAGTCCCTTTGTCAGGCCTTTCATACTGGAAAGACCTCTAGTATCTGCTACTGGAAACCCTGTCTTCTCTTCTCAGCATCTGTCTCAGCCACTTCTTTGGGGGCCCAGACCCCACTATTGAGGAACAGTGAAACGTACCATGGTGGTTTGAATGAAAATGGTCCCTATAGGCTCATAGGGGGTGATGCTATTATGAGTGTGACCTGGTTAGAGTAGCTGTGGCCTTGTTGGAGGAAGTGTGTCACTGGGGGCGGGCTTTGAGGTTTCAAATGTTCAAGCCAGGCCAGTGTCACTCTCTTTTCCTGCTGCCTGCTGACCCAGACACAGACTATCTTGGCTTCTCCTCCAGCACCATGTCTGCCTGTGTGCCACCATGCTTCCCACTGTGATGACAATGGACTAAACCTCTGAACTGTAAGCCAGTCCCAATTAGATGTTTTCCTTTATAAGAGTTGCTGTGGTCATGGGGTCTCTTCACAGCAATAGAAACCCTAACTTAGACACTCTCTAAGGTGAGCGAATAAGGCCCAACCATCGTCCACATCCTAATCACCAGTACCTATGAAAATGTATATTCATAGGAAAAAGGGTATTGGGTTGCTAAGGAGCTGACTTAAAAAAGGGAATATTACCCTGTATCTTCTGTCTATACCCACCATGCACAGAGAGTCTTTAAAATGGGA